TTTCTTTTCACCCTCTAAGCGCAGTCACCATCATGGTTTTCACTGTTACTACTCTTAGACTCAGTTAGCCACCTTCCGGCGCTTATTGCGGATGGTTTTGGACGCTCACAATAAAGTAGTTCCCTCGATGTTATTTCTAGGACATACCTTCAGTCACATGGAGACGAGGATAGTGGCAGTTCGCTAACATTATTAAGACGCCTCTCAGAGGCACAATCTATTATTGGGCTTATTAGGTGAGACAGTGGATCGTCCTTGAGTTATAATCTCGCCTCGTGTCTGGGCTGAATACACCGCAAGGTCGCTCTTACAGACGACCAGTTTAAGTGCCTCGTGTTTATATACGGCCTTCAATCGCCAGACGATTCCGATATACGCACGCAACTTTTGAGCAAAGTTGAACAGGATCCCCGGATGACGTTACAAACTGTCACTACTGTGTGCCAACGCCTCATAAATCTGAAGTACGGTACGACCATGATCCAGAATCCTAACCGCCCTCTCAGTTCCATTCACTCTGTGGACGCTTCCAAATATCCTGTCAGCAACAGTCACCCACCGTATTTCGTCATTAAGAAGACACCTCCATCTCCATGTTGGCGCAGCAGTGAATGGCACTTTCTTCGTTTTTGCTCGTTCAGGCGCCACCGATATCAGCGGTGTGATAAAGTTGGTTACAAAGACGGATTTTGTCAAACCCGTGCCAGTTTCAAGCGGCCCGTGAAACTGAAGCAGCGACCAAGATGTCCTACTCAAGCCGTTTATTCCCGTAGCCTTCTAGCTACATTCAAATTGGATGTCGCATTTCGCCGAAAATTTGTTTTTCTAAAAATCAACGGCTATGCTGCCAACCTTCAACTGGACACCGCATCCAACATCACGATAATTTCTGAGGAACCGTGGAGTTCCATTGGTAGCCCACCCTTTCAAGCTACCTCTCAGGAAGCAGCCAGTGCCTCTGGTGGTTCGGTTCGCCTTACCGCTCAACTTTCTTGCTCCGGTGACACTACAATCAACGATGTTAGTTATATTTCAGACTCCAATCTCAATCTCCTTGGTCTGGATTGGATTGACAAGCTGGGTCTTTCTGCTCTCCCACTAAACGCTATCTGCCGCCGACTTCAAGCCCCATCGGCAAAGTCCATTGTCCATGATTTCTTCACGGTTTTTCACGAGGGTCTTGGCTGTTGCACACAGACTCAAGAAACTCTCCGATTAAAGCATGGTATTGTTCCGTCGTTTCGACCAAATCGAGCTACGCTCCCGTTGGTAGATCAGGAACTACGCCGCGTCGAAGAATTGGGGGTTCTATCTCTATTGTCTTGTTCTCCATGGGCAGCGCCAATTGTAGTTGTTAAAAAGACAAATGGTTCAATTCGCATGTTTGCTGATTTTTCCACCGGATTAAATGCTTATTTGGAAGACCATTGTCATCCACTACCGATTCCTGAGGATATCTTCACTATGCTTAACGGAGGAACTTGATTCGCCTAGCTGGATTTAGCTGACGCTTATCTGCAAGTCGAAGTATCCCCGGAGTTTCGAGAGCTGTTAACCACAAACACGCATCGCGGTTTGTTTCAGTGCAACCGTCTACCTTTCGGCGTCAAGTCTGCTCCTGCTATTTTTCAATAAATAATGGATTCCATGATCTCTGGTGTAACCGGCGCGGCAGCGTACCTGGATGACATCATTATAATGGGTCGCACCACTGACGAGCTGCACGGAAGGATATCTGAGGTTTTACGTCGAATTGAGGAATATGGGTTCCGGTTGCAACTGGACAAATGTCAGTTCTTCCTCTCGGAAATCAAATATCTTGGTTTCATCATCGAGCAAACTGGCCGCCGTCTTGACTCTGGAAATGTGCGTGTAATTCGGGAAATGCGTGCTCCAAAGGATGTGTAATCGTTACGGTCGTTCCTCGGGCTAGTGACTCACTACGGCACGTTCTTACCCGCTCTCCACAATGCAGAGCACCATTGAATAAACTGCTTAACAAAGTTTTTGGTTATTCTCACCAGAATGTGAACGCGCATACAGCCACCTAAAAGCAATGTTAGGTTCAGATATCCTCCTAACACATTTTGATCCTGAACTTCCGATCTTAGTCGTGGCAGATGCCTCTGGCTATGGCGTCAGTGCCGTCATCTCCCATGTACCTCCAGATGGATCGGAGAAGGCGATCATGCATGCTTCTCGAACCCTTACGCCAGCCGAGAAGACTTATGCTCAAGTAGAATAGGAGGCTTTGGCACTAGTGTTTGTCATGAGAAAGTTCCATAGCATGGTCTGTGGTCGCCACTTCAGCTTACTGACCGATCATAAGCCGTTACTCGCTATTTTCGACTCTAATATGGGTATCCCGACATATTCCGCCAGCAGATTGTAGTGTTGGGTAACCTTTCTATTGAACTATGACTTTGACATCTGTTACCGGCAAACGCAATGGTTCGGTCAGGCCGACGTCTTGTCCTAGTTAATTAGTGCAAATTGACAGGAGCATGAAGATACCATTATCTCAGCAGTCTTCATGGAATTGGAAGTTCTTTAGCACCTGGCTGACGCTGTTCGTGCGGTTTCGGTCACTCTCCGTGACATCAAAAGAGAAACGGGCATCGATCCTATCCTCCAGGAAGCAGTTAATCTTGTTCGCAACCGATGGTTCACGAGAGCACCAACTGGAGACGTACGACAGCTTTATCTCCGTCGAGGAAGCTTGTCCATAGTTGCTTCCTGTTTGATGTTCGCAGATCGCATTGTCATCCCCTCTTTGCTTCACCGATCGTTTTAGGTCAGTTTCACGCGAGCCATCCTGGTGCAGGACGAATGAAAGCCATCGTCCGAAGCTACGTCTATTGGCTGGGTATCGACCAGCAAATAAAGACGTTGGTTCAGCAGTGTCCCCGCTGCGGACAGGCCGCCAAGAACCCTCCACGTGTTGCCCTACAACCGTGGACCCAATCTGATAAGCCGTGGTCTCGTCTACACGTCGATTTTGCTGTCCCAATCTCAACGGCATTATGTATCTCATGGTAATCGACGCAGCGTCCAAGTAGCCTGAAATCATTCCTGTCTGACACAACATCGTGCACCGTGTCTGCCGTTCTCAAAATTTTCAGTCAGCATTGGTTTGCAGATAGTTTGGTTTCAGCTAACGCAACCCAATTTACGTCGGCACTTTTCGAGGATTTCTGCCGTCGGAGTGTTATTAACCACTTTCACACCCCACCGTACCACCTTCAATCAAACGGTCAGGTCAGACGGTTCGTGGACACTTTAAACGGGCTTTCTTGCAAATGCGTAGGGAGGGAAATACCCATGAAAAGGATTTCCTCATGCTTTACAAGGACACTCCAAATCCGGCAACACCAGATGGATCCTCCTCTGCTGAATGCCTTATGCGCAGGAAACCACACACCAGCTTCGACGCAATGTTGCCGTCGAAGAAATCATCACCTGCCCCAGTGCATCCATCAGGGAAAACATTCTCAATTGGTGACTTTGTCTACGCTCTTGGTTACAGGCAAGGTCATGGAACGTGAGTCCCAGCTGGTCGCCGGGTTTCTGTTGTGTATGAAGTAACGGTTGAATGGCGCAAGTGGGTACGACACAAAAAGCAACTTCACCCACGCGATAACGACGTCACAGCCACTGAGGAAGAATTGTCGTTCGAAATGTACTGCTAGACATGTTCGGGCTCATTCCTAACCCATTGATAGAGGCACCAAATGCACCACCTGAACGGGTCTCCTTGCAACCCAGAAGATGGACCGACTTGAAGCACCGTCCAACTGGATCCCTGGCGTCCTAGATAGGAGATTTCTTAAAAGGAAAGGTGTTGGGAATGGCCATATTTCTCAAGAACTACACTAGAATCAGCCAAAACTATGGATTTTTTGCTGGCTGCTGCTTTTTGTTTTTTAAACGGTGCGCGATATATGTTTCCGCTTCAAGCGAGCATTGTGATTGGCTGATTTGACAATGCCGTTGAATGAGCTAACCCAATCATGAGTTTTCATCACTGTCTGGTCTATCTCGTGCTTTCACGTGAGTAGATCTGTTGTCTGAAGTCTTGCCTTCTTTTTCCGGTGTTGGGGCTATTGACTGGTGCCGCATTTGTGTTGCATTTGTGGTCCTGTGCGTTGATTTTGTTGTGAGTGTTCTGTTTTTCCGTTCCCTTTTTCCGAATTACTTTAGTGGTCGTAGGATCGCAGCACCCACACCAACATGGATACGTACCGGTGATTTTAGGATTACTTCGCATGCACGCAATCTTTTCGGCCACCGGACTTGCGCAGACCTGGTCGCGTTAGTTTAGCCGAATGTTACGCGTAACCTGAGCACGGTCTCTATTCGCGCACGTATTCAAGTGACACGCTGAGTCCTCTTGACCAGACAACGATACGCACACGATCGGGGGACTACACGCTCACGCAGCAACCGGCTAAGGTGACGCACAAGATCACGTGACTACGCGAGTCCCAACCACCCACTAGAGGAGACAAGAGAATACGAAGCGGACCTCTGAGAGTTCTTTTACTACTCACAACGGCCGAGTCACAGTTGGAACAACGCTTCATTTTGTGGGTGCAATGCATCACCACTTAGGGCTGGTGGTTTACGAATGAACATTGTCCACTTTAGCCCAGTTGCGCCCCGACTCGAAGTGGCTGGATCCTGCTACCTTGTGGGTATGAATTGAAATCTACGTCTCGCTACCCACTGGATTTTGCGAGGCGTTTTTGCGGGGTTACGTGACGTACCCACAACAGGTTGATTCCCTCAGATTTATTTTTAGACGTGCAATGATCTTCATTATCATTAGTCATATCCGTAGTTTTTTTGTCGCAGCGTTACCAGTTTAATTCATATTTTCCACTTTTACTGAGGTTGACATATTTCTTCCAATTCATTTCCGTTTTATTTTGCTTTTTTAGATCTTAGTCACTTAAGTTTTCGGTACTTGGCGCCGTTTGCTTGACGGTGTCCATGTTGAGATGGACATTGATTCAATGGACATTGATCTGTATGCTTTCTTTGGGTTGAGCGATGACTGTTCTTCCAAGGAAATCAAGAGAGCCTACAGAGAAAAAGCTCTTCAGTTACATCCTGACAAGAATCAGGCCGATCCTAGAGCAAGCAAGTTTATAATTCAGACTATTATCTTTTCTCACACAGAAGAACGTTTTCAGCAGCTTACTGTTTATTATGAAATACTGCACGATCCTGTGCGTAAGGTGAGTCAAAGCTGTTTGTTCAATAGTCTCTTGCCACACATATTTACAAAGTTGATATTCCTTCGATACTCTCAAGCCCATTACGCAATCACAAGAAATTTTGTTCCCCTTTAGTACAACTTGATCTAGCCCTTGTGGTGCGTCAGTGGGTCATTTTTCTTTGCCGTTGACACAAAATGCTAAGACATGTGCATTGGTGGAGACGCAACCCACTATTGTCCCTTAAGGTGTCATCTGTTGAGTATGTGTTTAACAGTATTTCTGGTGTCATTTTTCCCAACTTCGTCTCATTTCAAGTCCTTTAAGTGGGGACAGTCGAAGCTCGTACTGGGAACGACGACGATGTGACCTATGTTGCGGATCTGGCACAGTAAACTTGACAGAATGCCTTCACTACGAAGCTGCCAAGCTCCGCAAAGCACGTTTATCATGTTGGCTAGTTTGACAATGTGTAACACCGAAATTGTATATCACATGAGTGTGTAACCGTGTTATCAAAATGATTGCTCAACTTCTACTTGAGGCGAACATGTTCAGCATTTATTTGTCTTTCTTCCTGTGTTTTGTTTACTCTGCTATTTGCGCATTTACGTAGTCACTTATTCAACCCACTGATTTTATCCAACCTCACTACTCTGCAGCCGTTGTGTGGCGATTCGTGTTTGCAAATATCAAAGAATATCTGTTTTCTTGTCGACCATGCAACTAGTATCTTGAAGACTGCGTAACGCTTATGAAACTGAAGAATAAATTGTTAAACCTTTCTCCATAATGCTAATACTTATTTTGAGGATCGGAACTAGAGCGACAGGTTGCTGAATTCGCAGCGTACTTTACCGTGCTGGTTATTTGAGATTTCTGGGTTCTGAAGTGAAAGTACTGTAAAACAACCGTAAGTTGTCCACCCAAGGGACTGAATCAAAGTGGTCAACATACGTAACCTACGTTCCTGTTGTGAGTAGTATATTATAAAATTCATTTTCACACAAACCCGTTTCGAACGAATTAGCGAGGTCTCACGTAACGGCAAACCCAGTTTAACCATACAGTGTTATAACAAATAAGCACGCATTGTGCATTCGAAAAGTTAACTCTTTTTTGAAGAAAAATTCACTTTGTCTTTTCCTCTTATCATAAAGGTAACTGAAGAAAGCACTCTCAGCACAGTCTACACCACTCAGCATGTTCGGACATTTTTCCACAGCATGATTTCACTTGCATTAAAAGATCTCTGACTTCATCTTCTTTTAGAGTTTCTGTGATTTCCAAATCATCGTCACACAGTCCTTTTTCTTCAGCATAATCAGGTATTGGTTCTTTGTTCACGTAGCGGTGTACCGCATCTGGGTCTGGTTCAGTGCAAGTTACCAAGTCACCGTCCATTCCAACAAACTCATTAAAATCTACCCCCTCGAATTCTGCCAATTGATATGGAATGTTTTGTAAGGTGACTGTGTCCCGCTCGAGAGATTGAACAAATCCGGCTTTTCTGAAACACTTGTATAATTTCTTGTTGAACTTTGAACCAAGCGGAACTTATCCAAAGCACAGCATTAACTGGAGCAATGGATGAAGTTCCGCATTTGAATTAATCGTATGCCATTTTGCCATAGCCCATTGCATTAGCTGGACTCAGTAGTGCATTTTGAACATTTTGATGATCCCTTGATCCAGGGGTTTAATTTGTGATGTCATGTTTGGAGGCAGCAAATTAAGTGTAATATTTGTGAGATTGTGGTGTGACTAGGACAGTTGTCTACTGTTAGGATACTGAAGCGTTTCATCTTCATCATTTCCTAGTTGATGCTTCTGATCCACTCTTCAACTATGGCATCAGTCATCAACGCAGATCGGTTTGATCTCCAGGTGACTGGGAAGTTATCAGGATTTGGGTTTCTGAACGCACGTAGTCTAGCTGATTTACCAACGACTATGGTTTTCAACTTCTCTCCACTTGAGCTAGCGCACAATAGAACCGTGAAACGTTCTTTAGGATGTTTTTAGTTTGTCACTGTTTATAACAATGCTTCTATTAGGCATCGCCTTGAAAAAGAGACCGCACTCGTCAGCTTTGAAATGGTCGTCACTGCTAATTTAGAAAATTTTTCGATGAAGTCCTGAACAAACTCTTCAGGCACTTCATTGGATTCACCTACGAAACTCTGAAAAATTTCATCTCGGAGTTTACGTTTCTCTAGCCATTCATTAAATACCTGGAAATCTACAACCCTAAATAATTGTTGGGACCTTTTATTAATTTCTTGAATCATCGGCCCAGAAATTCGAGCGTTAGCTGTCCTCATTTGCTTGAACCAGCGCTGCGTAGCCTCAATGACTTCATCGTATGAACTTTTTCGCCTCTTCCGCTGTTGATCTCCTTTCATTATCGTATCTCACCTAGTACTCGTGTTTATGACTGAATGTTGCTAATTGTTGTCTTGGCTTCAACCAAAACGTTCCACCGCCTTTCTTTGGCTGTTACTTTCCAGAATATATGTCAGAGTAATCTTTCCCTTCAAGGTCAACTCTCCGAGGTCTTTTCTTTGAGACCTAATCTTAAATTACTCGTAATGCTCGATCCTAATTTGTTTAAAGCACGAAGTAGATCTAAGGTCTACGGTTCTAGTTACGTAACCTTAATTACATACAATAACTAACCGCAATTGGTTTCAACCTCAGGCCGACACCAACTACAGCCGAATAAATGCTGGACAATTAGTGTGGGCGGCAATATCAATATCGACACAATCCAAGGTGCTAATGAACTGATACTTAGTCCTGGTGATTAATAGTATGTTTAACAGTCACTCAAACTCCAGATTGCTGCCCGTGCGGTGAGTGGACACATGTTCTTAGGGGTAGAAGAAGGCTTGCCTGTGTATGTGGACAGGTGAGGGAGGTTGAACACAAATCGCTCTAGGTCATTCCGTGGTCACAGATCTGTGGGAACCCACATTGATCTGGTAACATGCGTTCTCATAAACGCTGGCGGCCGGGATAAACATGCTTATACACAAACATACAGAGAACGTGCTTTATCCACAAACGCAAAGTTTGCCGATTGGGCGATCAGAAGTCCACGTATGGCAGTTCCGCTGCATGCTGTGTTATCGGAACAAACGGGTAATTCGGGAACCATTGGATGGTAAGCCGTCAAATTGTCAGCTTGTGTAAGTTGAATTACTGACTGTCATAGCTTACAGAGATGGTCAACATACAGAGATCTGGTTCCATCGAGTTCACACAGTGATCATCCAAGCTATGAGAAAGTGGTCAACATGGGGAGGTGGTGAACCTATAGAGGTGGTCAACTTTGGAGGTTTTACTGTACTAACTATAGCACACCGGACTCCAGTCCTAGTTCAGCCGCCTCCACTTGAATAATCCAACTTGAAACTGGTAGTTAGTTGAGTTGTTGTGGCGAGCGACGTCCGGCACTTATTGCAGTAGACTCTTTCTCGCACCAGAGATCTGTGCACTTTTATGCCATTAATGGGCATGTGTATCATCGTTTATTTGCACTAGCACTCTGTGGTCTGAGTGCCAGTGTACTAACGCGATTGCCTACTGATTCGGCTACTGATTGCTTTTTCGAAATCTTAGTAAACAACCAATGCGATCTTTTTTGTCCGTACGTCTTTTTGCTGATTTGCACACTGTTCTTAGTAGGAAGTGAATTAACTGATATTGAAACTAGTGATTTAATGAGGATTTTAATGGCTTCATCCCGTGCCGATTGCACGGCATCGTTGCGTAAGCCACTTCAGTATGCTACATTTCGCGTTAATAACATAACTGCAAAGGCCATTCTGGATCCCACTTTTACATTTGCAGATCTCTTCAAAATTGCCGACTATTACTTAATATCCTTAGCCAACTGATTATCTGTTCCGCCGAAGATTTCCACAACAAGCTTAGGACTTTACACGAACCCACCTTAGCATTATTTGGTCACTTTTAATTCCTCTTAATTGATCACACAAATGACGTCAGTATGATAGCAGCACTGAGACAAACGCATTTCGTCGCGGTTTGACCACTTAGTTATTTCATCCTGCGTCTTACTGTCGACTAGGAGTTTTCGCCCTTATAATCGGCATTGCTATCATTTCACTTAACGCCGGCCCGTACCTTGTAATCATACGGCGCGGGTTTGAGCCTGCGTAGGGACAGGGCGACTCTCACAATATCCTTAGCCCACGTACGACCAGTGGTGGTTGCGCGGCAGGGAATCTTCTGTACTGTGTACCGGCGTGCTGCTGATGCTTTTTCTATTTAACTAACCCTGCACCGCCTTATGAGCTGCTTGACCTACCTGATTGCCACAAACGGGGCCACTTCCTCAACCCGCAACTTCCCGAATCGCATGTAGTGTTCACAGACACACTTACTGGCTCCTGTACATTGGTTAGCATTCGTTTGGTTAAGCGTGTCCAAGTACTTATCATAGGTTGCTACCTGTCGGATTCCAACATCGGCTCTCTGTGTCGGTAGCCGGATGCTACGACCTTAACGCCACCCAATTTGTGTGCCTTTCGGTGCTTATGATCCCCCTACTGTGCTTCGACCAACATGTTAGGCGCGATAAGTTTGAAGTGGCAATATCATGCCGCGCTCACTTCAAGTCTCTTACTTGTTAATATCACAGCGCACAACTTGCCGGTGGAATCCTATTTTGTTACTGTTTTGCATTATCGGGACGTACTAACGCTTCTTCCACTTTAGGTAAGGAGGCTTGGTAACCTACCTCGTAGTAACCGTTCCATCAATAACGAACACATAGTTCCGGTTCACAGTTCCAGTTCACATGCGAATCCACATCCGAACCAGGTTGACCTGTTGTGAAACATTGAAGGTTTTTTTCATCGCATTGGTGGTGCGAATTTATCCGTCGCTAATTTTTCCATTTTGTTTATCTGCATATGCGTTGCCTTTTCTCTAAGCGGATTCATGGTGGTCCTCGTACCATCAGATAGTCGTTACGACAAACAGTAGTTAGG